TTCTGAGGAAGGGTCACCGGACCCGAAACGTTAACTCTGTTTTTTCCTTCACAGATGCTGTCAGACTTGCTGAGCTTTTCCAGCAACTTTGTTTTTGTTCAAGATACATTCACAACTGTGAAGATTTTAGACTCGGATTTGAAGTCACTTTGGGCCAATTATCCATCTTGTCACATCTATACAGCAGCTTGTTTCTAATTTTATCTCCAGTCTTAATTGTATTCAGGATAAATATTCAAGGGATGGCAGATAGTGGAAATGTGTTGTCAGCCAATGTCTGCAGTGAAGGGGCTGAAAGATATGTTGAGAAGCTCAATAGATGGTGCCAATCTACAGAACGTTACTTCCTAAAATTCTTGATTCTTGTGTTGTACGTCTCTTTAAATCTCATGTGAAACAAAAGATGTGTGAATTAGGCCTAGGATAGTTCTACAAGTCATTCCTTTTCCTCCCTAGACCCAATTATTTGTCTTCCACTCACTTAATGCACTTATAACAGCGGGCTAGCTGACACTCAACAAAATAAAGATGACAGTTGTTTGTGAAAGCACATCGATTTAAGTGCTGTACCAAACACCAGAATTGTGAGCCCCAAACACCATTCCCTTCATATTTTTCCAAAAGGTTTATGTGGAAATATTATCTCTATGCCACCCGACCAAATTTGAGAGAAATGTTCTGTATTAAAACAGGGGCCAATACCAAATCTGGGATATTTTGCCAGTGGGTGGACAGCAGGCAAAGCAAATGACTCAAAAACAAAAAGTGCTGGAGAAACTTAGCAGGTCCGGCAGCATGTGTAGAGAGAAAAATAGAGTTAACCTACATTCTGTCCCTAACAATGATCCTGACCTTCTAGTTGGCCACCACATCAACGTACCATCTTGTTCCATGGCCAACATTTCTTTCTCTAGCCTCCTGCAGTTCCTCAGTGAGGCTTAATGCAAGCTGGCAGAACAACATATCACCTTCCACTTGGGGACCTTTTGGCCTTCAGGATTCAACGTTGAGTTTAACAATTTCAGAAAGTGGATACCTTATTCATTACCTTTCCCCTCACACCTAGGTCCTGTTGTATATGGACTGATCCCAGCACGGCCAACCCATTTCGGACACTTCTTGTTAGCTTCCCACCTAACAATTCTCTCTGTCTCATCTTATGAACAATCACTGCTTGCCTATCCTTTTTTCTGTCTCTGCACCATTTCCATGTACTCTATTCTATCCCCACACCCTCACTCATGTAATCAGCATAAATATCATGATTTCCCAGTTATTTGCAGTTCTGATGAAGGGTCACCAGACTCAAACATTTACTCTGCTTTAATGAAATAAAGAAACTAGATGCTCCTTTACTATGACTCATTGATTAACAATTTTATTGGTCTTATCATCCTGTCCAATGGCATTTATTTGCACACTTTTCTTGCAACCCAATTAGAATTGTATCAGTTAGTTTATATTGTAGCTCCACAATTCACAACTTTTCAATCCTTTCTGAACTTGGAAGTTTTGTCAGAGGACTGGATGATCACAAAGTTTACAAACTCTTCAAAAAGGGAGACAGGGATGGCCCGAGTAATTAAAGTCCAGTTTATGAATATCAGTAATAGGAGAAATATCAGAGACACAGTCTGGCACATAGTGGAAGAAAAATTAAAATAACTAAGTAACAGCCAATGGATTTGGGTAAATTATGCTTTCAGATCCTAGAATTATTTGAAATAACTAATGCTGGAAATCGGAAACACACAAAAACAGAAATTGCTAAATAAACTCAACCAGGCTTGCAGCATCTATGGAGGGGAAGGCAGAGTTAACTTTTCGAGTGCAGTTCTTCTGAAGAACGATCACTGCACTCAAAACTATAACTCTGTTTTCAGATGCTGCCAGACCTGCTGAGTTTCTCCGGCAGTTTTATTTTTCAGATTTCCAGCATCCGCGGTTCTTTAGTTTTTTTTTCATTTTAAAGCAAATGACTCATTCTGCAATACTAATGTACTTGTATCCTCCGAAATTGAGACGTTAAATTGTGCACGGAATGGGATTGTATGTCTTTCTATTCCGTCTTGTTTTTTTCTGGGTCAATGCGCCTGGAACTCCATTCATAAAAAACGGGAACGCTATCCCTGATGGATCGCTCTGCACGGTGACACCCTGTCCCATTTCCCTTACTCATGGGGAAATGAAAGTGCGTGTTCTAATCCGCATTGCTACAGCCACGCTCCGTGTATCTAAACTTCAGGACTGGGTTTTGCATTCAGCCTGGCTGGCATAAGAAGCTCCTGAAGACTTTCGGATGGTGTCAATGAGCATTGCGTTCTACGTCACTGCGTGCTGTTTCCGTATGTTGCCTTTTGGGGATGTTTGGAGGGAGGAGACAGAGTGAACAAGCTGCTGAATCGTAGTCAAGACTCGGCGCTTTCACTCCTGCCACTCCCTGAAAAGCCACACTTTGCTCAGTGCAACTGAAAACAGCAGCTGGGGGGAACTGGCCGTGGTGCTGAAGCGCTGTCCATTGTGCTCGAACAGCAACGGGGAGAAACGCGCGGAGCGTTCGCAAGGAGGTGTGTCTGGACCTGAAGGTGTCTGCCGAAGACAGCCAGGATCTCCTTCCACTTCCCACTCCGTGAGCTCAGCTGCCTCGAAAGGAGAGCCGATGGAACCTGGGTTCGATTTGCAGTCTGGCCGTGACGGAGAGCCCTGCTGCCAAGATAGTGCTTACGGATCATCTGCTTTAGACACAGACATGGAAGAGGGCCACACGCCTCCCCACAACAATATCATCTACTACAATGAAGAACTGTTGCATAAGGTGAGTGCCCCTAACATTAGCAGCAAGAGGAATAGTTTACATTAATATAGCGCCTTTAATGCACTAAAACATGTTACAAGAGTGATACAAAGTTGCGTAGTTGTGGAATGGGCAAACGTAGACAGGGCGAGATTATATAGCATATCATTTTGGGATATAGCATATCATTTTGGGACATAGCACAATAACTTTCTAACACCAACTTCCTAGACTAAGAGGTAGTGTAAAAACGAATTTTAAACAGTAAAAATTTGGCAGGGAAAAGGTGGGGCTGATTAGTGACCAAGAATTTGTCAGAATGTATGGCTGAGGTATTAAAATAATATTTTATGTCAGTTTTGACAGAAGACGGAAATTCTGCCAAGATCACAGTAAAGGTTAAGCTGGCAGTGAAATGGATAGGATAGAAAAACGGTAAGGTTTTAATTAAAATTAAAATATCAGCTGGTCTGGGGCAGGATATTTCTTTTTTAGATTGTTCGTGGCCAGAAAGACAGAATTAATGCGAGGTTCAAGACACAACTTGTCAATCCATCCTGAATATGGAATTTTTGTCAGAGGGCTGGATGGTCACAAAGTTTACACCACTCTGTGCAAAAGGACAGGGATAAGCCCAGCAATTAAAAGCCAGTTATCAACATCAGTGAAAGGAGAAATATCAGAGATAATCTGGGATTTAATGAATAGCCACTTCTAAAAAAAACACTAATAAGTAACAGCCAATGAATGAATTTGGGTAAATTATGCTTTCAAATCCTGGAATTATTAGATGAGGTAACTGAGAAGATTGATAAGGGCAAGGAGGTTTCAAACCATGTTTGATAAAGTAACACATAATTCACATGTTAGCAAAATTGAAACCAATTGGATTAAAATGGATGAATCTGGTTAAGAAACAGGAAAACAAACTATGATTGGAGGAACTGGAGGAAAGACTACAAATGGCTTCCCCTAGGGGTTCATATGGAACCACTGTTCTTTTAGGTAAATATCAATAACCTGGACCTGGGTAAACAAATGACAAGAACTGCAAATACACAGAAATGTGGTCATTTGGGAGAAGGAATGTGGAGATACAATTCTAATTGGGATACAAGAAAAGGGAGAACTCCAAGTGTGCAAATAAATGCAATAGGACACGATGAAAAGGCAGAAAAAAATATTAATCAATAAATCATAGTAAAGGAGCTTCAATGTGACAGCAATCATAACATAAAACTTTTGATAAGGCATCACACCAAAATAAAAGCTCATGGTGTTGCAGTAACACATTAGCATGGGTAAAGGATTAGTTAGGAAGATGGATAGATGGATTTTTTTGTGTTGGCAAGCTGTAAGTAGTAGAGTGCTACATGGATCAGCACTGGGACATGAACTGTTTCCAAGCTATGTCAATGACTTTGATGAAGCAAAGCTAAATCTGACAGTGAGAAGATTTCAAATGAAGTAAAACAGTAGGCAGGTTTGATGAATAGACAAAAAAAATGATGAATGGAAAATAATGTGGGAAGAGGTGGACCTGTCCACTTTAACAGGAATGGAAAGTTGTACACAACTTAAATGGAGAGTCATTGTAAAACTCAATAGTACAGTGTGATCTGCTTGTCCTGATAAGTTAATTCAAAGGTAATAACAGGTGCAGCAAGCAATTAGGAAAGCAAATAAAATGTTGGTGGTTCTTACAAATGTAGTGGAACATAAAAGTAGGCAGATTTTATTGCAGCCATGTAGAGCCTTGATGAGACCATATCTTTTCAGAGAAGGTTCGCTCAGTCATTCTTAAAATGGGTTTATCTTATGAGGAAAGGTTAGATAATTCAGCATATATACAGTGGAGTTTGAATGAATGAGTGGTGATCTTATTGGAACATAAAAGATCAGAGGGAATATGGGGATGGTATTTCCCTTTGTGGGGAATTTAGAACTGGGACACATGGTTTAAAAACAAGATGTCACCCTCTTAAGACAGTTCTTTTTTTATTTCTCTCTCACAGTGTCATTAAGTCAGTTGAGTGCAGTTCAGACCACAACTGGTTAGGTCAAAATCTTATTGAATAGTGTAGCAGACTTGAAGGGCTGAATGGCCTAATCCTGACCCAAAGTCCTATGCTTCTCTGTTCCTTTGGTATACATATTAACATATAAAGGTTACCATTTGCAAATCATCATCTTACAACCTCATCCATATGTTTCCCAATACAACAATAATTACAGTGATGTGATAAATATTTTGGTTCCTGTCACAATCCTTGTGAAACTGATGATATGCCAATGAGTGGAAATGACTGTGTTTTTGGGAACTGGGGGAGCATGGATAGGGTGAATAGCCAAGGTCTCTTTCCTAGGTTGGGGGAGTCCAAAACTAGAGGGTATAGGTTTAAGGAGAAAGATTTAAAAAGGACATGAGGGGTAATGTTTTCACATAGAGGGTGGTACATGTAAGGAATTAGCTGCCAGAGGAAGTGGTAGAGGCAAGTACAATGACAACAGTTACAAGGCATCTCAATGGATATATGAACAGGAAGCATTTCGAGGGATATGGGCCAAATGCTGGCAAATGGGACTAGGTCAGATTGGGATGTTTGGTCAGCACTGACAAGTTGGACTGAAGGATCTGCTTCCTTGCTGAATGACACCATGACTCTATTTAGATGAGGTAATTGGGCTAAAAGTTGAGGCTGAAGCTGAGAGCAGGTCTTGGGCCAGATGGATAAAATATAGTTGATAGTGAAGGGTCTGGGAGACACTGGATCTACAATTGAACGGACAGTTACAGCTTGGCAAAGTGCCCAATTAAATCTAGAAATATACCAGAGGTCCTTCAATGTTGCTTGGTAAAACTCATGGAATCCTTTTTCCTAGTATCACATGAACTATAGCAATTCAAGAAGACAGCTCACCACCTTTCAAGGGCAATAGGAATGTGATGCGTATGCCGGTCCAGTTAGCAACACCCAGGTCTCACAAATGAGTTTTCAAATGATGCATGAAAGGGCATAACTCTCTCTCCCTTTTTCAAATTATTTGGCAGCATTCTGGGATGGTCCAGTTACTATGTGCCGAGTAACACGCTACTTATGTGGCGAAAAGAATCCCGATTGTGTGTCGCGGCAAGAAATTGACACACAATCTCGCAAGTTTCCTCTTCTCACTACTCAAACGCTTAATAAATGATCTGCTTTAGTATTAAAACCGAGATTATAGGTCTTCTGCTGAAAATGCTGGTAAATGGGACTAGGTCAGTTTAGGACATCTGGTTGGTGTGCATGAGTTGGACTGAGGGCTTTATTTCTGCAGTGTATAACTCTATGACTCTATAAATACTTCATGAAGAAAGTCCTGAATCTATCAGTGATTAAGGAATTGGGGCTTGAAAGAACATGAAGAATAAAGAACACAAATTTGGTAGCGTTGGAGTTTGAGGTCAAGGAGCGTTGGTGTTATGGGATATGGGAGCAACAGACTTTATAATCTGAAACTCCTATCTCTTTCTATGCATAGCAAATAAGCTAAAAGAAAAAAGTTTTTCCAGTTCAGCCAATCAATTATGTTACAAATTAACAGTGCAGGATTACAAATACAATGACTTGGAAAGAATGGTATGGATGTAGTGTTATGGAGAGAGTGATTTGACCCAGAAAAATGTAGTGTTGCAGAGAGAATGATATAGACCCAGATAACGCAACTTTGTGGACAGAGTATTATCGGCCCAGAAAAATGCAGTGTTGTGGAGAGAGTGGTATAGATGCAGATAATACAGTGCTGTGAGAAAAGTGATGGAGACCCAGATAGAGCAGTGCCAAGGAATAAGTGATATAAACCCAGATAAATAGTAATATGAACAGAATGACGTAGATCCAAATAAATGCAGTGAAATGTACAGAATGATAAAAACCCAGATAAGTTCAGTGATTGGAGCAAAGTGATATAGGTAAGATATAGATGTAGTCATTTGTTAAATAATGCAGCTGCTCTTTGTAATAGTATGTACAGAATGTATTCCTAGTTTCACGCTCTGAAATTGTGGTGCAGTTATTCTCATCTATCACTCTTTATGATCTGTGTTGGAGGAAAATTCTATTTTCTGGGCAGTATTGTATAAGGTTGGAAATCGAGTGTAACAGTTTGGTAGCATACAGGGACTGCTAAACTGGTTTCAACGTAATGAATTCAAGAGAATTCAGAGCAAAGCAAAACAAGATACCTGGTCACAGTTCAATTAGAAAGTAAATAGATCACACTGTGGTAGACAAGGCAATTCTTAAGTGTAAGCTGATGACATGATCTGTCTGGGAACAGTTCACTTTTCTTTACCTCAGTCTGGAGTGAAAACTGAGAATCTGAGAAAACACTTTGAAGAATAGAGAAGCCCCTTTGTTCCAAAACTAAACAAGGTCTGTGTCTCATTGAAGTGAGCTGCAAATGCTTTTACTTTGCACTTTTTTGAGAAATAAACAGGTTAATGGGACACACATGAACAGGTGGCATGGTGGCGCAGTGGTTAGCACTGCTGCCTCACAGCACCAGGGACCTGGGTTTGATTCTCAGCCCTGAGTGACTGTCTGTGTGGAGTTTGCATGTTCTCCCTGTGTCTGCATGGTTTTCCACTGGGTGCTCTGGTTTCTTCCCAGTCCAAATATGTGCAGTTTCGGTGGATTGGCCATGCTAAATTGCCCCACAGTGTTCAGGGATGTGCAGGCTAGGTGGATTACAGGGACAACAGAGGGGTCTGGGTGGAATGCTGTTCAGAGGTTGATGCAGACTTAATGGGCCGAATAGCCTCTTTCTGCACTGCAGGGCTTCTATCATTCTGTGCGCCTCTTTCTGTCCAGTTTGACTGATTGTATCATTGGGCAGACTGGCTTTCGTGCTTTGCTGTGTGTGGTACATAGTGCTGTAATGCTGCACATTCTAGGTGTGGAGGACAAGAAAAGAAGAGTAACTTTATTCTTCAGGAATTATTAACCAACTAGAAATGGGACAGGTCCTGTTAGATATGGTGATTTCAATGAATGCCTCACTGTAATAATGAAACAATGTATTTTATCTTTTAGCATCTGAAACCTAAAGAAGATGAAAACGATGCAAATCACCACTGAGGGCAAATCATGAGAACCTGTGGGTGTTCAGCCATTTGTTTTAGACTGGTGCAAGGCTTGTACTCTGAACTTGTAGTGAACCCAACGACATTCGGATAGATGCCTGTTGAAGTCAATGTGAAAGAAAATTGGTGGGGCATATAATGGGTGGTCACTCCTCTGCTACACCACTGTCAATGGTGAAAGTTCCACCTGTTCTGTGCATTACAGAAAAGGTCAGAGAATCAAGCAATATGGAGCTAAGGTAGATATCAGCCATGATCTAACTGAGTGGCAGAACAGGCTGGAAAGGCTGAATGGCCTCCTCCTGTTCCCAAAATGTGAAGCACTTGAACTTTTCATTTTCTGTGAAGGGTGTCCAAATATATGCAACCAGGATGATGCCTAGCCTCAGTATGCTTTCCTTTGGGAGCAGACTCTCGTATTCAACTTAGAGCTTTTTAAGATAATGAAGAATCTGTACTCAACCTAATTGGATATGTCATATAAAGAGGACAGGGATGGCACAGCTAGCAGACATGTTTACAAAATACAAAGGCAAAGATCGTAAATTAGATGCCAGAAGTTTTATGTTCCACAGAGAATCATTACTGTATGAATGTGTCATGTACAGGGCTCTCTGAAAGATGAACCTGGAATTCCTGTGTTCAAATTGTATTGCCAATAAAAGAAATACTTTCATTTATACAGTACTTTTCAGGATCACAGATATTTCAAAGTGCTTTACAACCAATGAAATACTTTTTGAAGTGTTATCATTGTTGCAAATGAAACTGCCTGTTTGTGCTCAGCAACCTCTCAGAAAAAACAATCTAATCATTAACAAATAATCTGAATGTTGATCAAGGGATAAATGTTAGGACACCAGGGCTATCTCCTTTGGTTTTCTTCAGAATAGTACCATGGGATATTTTACATCCACCTGAATAGGCAGATGGGAATCTTGATTTAACATCTCATCAAAATGGTTGTTATCAACGATGTTCATGAAAAAGATTTTTGAAGTTACCACAGATCTTTACATCATCCCCTAAGTGAATGAATGGCGTTCACAGTCCCCAAATTGGCTTCAGTCTTATTTCCTGTCTGGCATTTTGTCTCTGCTCAGAAATGGTGCATTTGGGCGTGGATTATCCTTGTACCATGTCTGAATGTTGCGGATATGTTATGCCAGAGGTTCTCTCCTGTTTCTCAATTCATCTGTTTTCCTCTGTGAATATGAATATTTCTCTCTCTGAAGCAATGAGTTGTTGGATACTGCTAAGATAGACTCGTTCTACATTTTTTCAGCTGAACAATTGTTTTCATGTCAGTAACACCACAAGATACTTTACAGGGCAACCAGGTATTGAGCAGGAGAGAGGAAGAGGAGAATTGAGGGTAGAAAAAGAAACAGACAAAGATAGGTGGCTTAGTCCAGGTGTTTTTAATTCTATGATATTTTAGAATCACAGAATCCCTACACATTGGAAAGAGGCCATTCAGCTCATCGAGTCTGCTCTGGCTTCCGTAGAGTATCCCACCCTGAACCTCACCTTATCCTCGTAACCCCACATTTACCATGGCTATCCCACCTAGCCTGCACAACCCTGAATGCAATGGACAACTTAGCATGGCCAATCCCCCTACCAGCACATCTTTGGACTGTGGGACGAAACCAGAGCACCTGGAGGAAACCCACGCAGACACAGGGAGAATGTGCAAACTCCACACAGACAGTTGCCTGAGGGTGGAATTGAACCCGGGTCCCTGGCACTGTGAGGCAGCAGTGCTAACCACTGAGCCCCGTGCAACACTTTTTGTTTGAGTAGAATCAATTTAGAAATAATGTGCTTTGGTTTGGAGTTGAAATGAGAAATTATTGATTTGGAACTACTGCTGAGAAAGTGAGGAATAATTTCTTGACACAGCTAATAGTTGCACAAGGAATGGTTGAAACTGAACCATTGCTCCTTTATGTAAGGAGAAGCTGCATGAATATCTGAAAGAAAGGAAGTCCCAAATCCCTGGAGCAGTGGGGGAGACAGTGTGAGAATTCTATGTTGGGCTAGCAAAGAATTCCATTGACTCCTTGCTCAGCAGTTCAATTCTAATTCTATAAAAAAAAGTCTTCCGGGGAGTTGGTTGGAAGAGAAAGGTTTTAGTCTATAGCAATTCTATAGAATGCAAAGAGTTGTGAATTCGGTACAATGGCAATAAATGAGAAATGTCTTCTATCGGAATTCTGTCAGCTGATTGGGATAAAGTTTGGCTTGATTGGGAGATGATAAAATTGTAAGAATTTGCCAGCAATAAGTGAGAAACTGGTTGATGTTTTGAAGTGACTGAACAGGGTTATTCCATTTGAATTCTATGAGGATGACGAAGACTGATCCATGAGAATTCCGTGCAAGTGTTGGAAAGTTGGTTGAGCTATTAAAATGGAAGAGAAATCAGAGTGGAGTAAGACAAGATACCCAGTCATAGTTCCGTTAGGAAGTGAATCCATCACAGAGTGGCAAGCAAGGCAGCTTCTGAGCATAAAGTGATGGAAGTGATTCCTCAGGGAATAGTTCATCTTCATTGCTCTCAATCTGGAGGGTCTGAGAAAACTCTTTGCAGAATAGTTCTTTGTTCCAAAACTAAGCAATTATCTGATTAAATGAATAAAAAAAACTACTTGCAGTCCCACCAAGATATTTTACATAGGAAAACATGTTTAGAGATTTCACAGAGGTGTGAGCAACAGAAAAATTAACACAGAGATGAAGGATTTATTAAAATGTGTGACTGAAAACATGGCCAAAGGTATTTTGGACACAGTCTTGAGGAAGAGAAAAAGGCAGAGAAGCAGAGAGTTTTGGAGAGAATTCCAGAACTGAAGACATAGTTTCAGTGGTGCAACGAAGGGAACGGGAGATATGTCCAGTGATTTGTGTAACTCTTGGAAGGTTGTTGAACTGAAGAATGTTAGACAAGTAAAACTGCATAGACTTTCTGCAGAGGACCATGTGTTCCATGTTTTAACTAGTCCGTGCAAGGTCTAGGATGGTCTTGATGATCACAAGGATTTGGAATTTAAGCTCAACTCAGAGTATAAAAAGATACCAAAGTTACCAATCTTCTGTTTCAACCTGTGACAATGCTGGGGAGGGAGAAATAATCAAGATTTCTGAATTGAATGAATTGATTCCTAGAGAACAGTGTTGGTGATGAGGGCCAAAAACAACAGCATTGCTCTTCCAATTTATAACTGGAGAAAATTTAGTAACTAGGGAATGGATATCAGACAAGCAGCCCAAGTGTCAAGGAGGAATGATGTCGAGATAGAACCCATGTGGAAGCTGACATTGAGCTTTTTGGATAATGTCACTGAAGAACAGCAGATGAGAAACAGAAAGCCAAGGATAAATCCTCAAGGGGCATCAAAAAAACGTACGGGAGATGGAAAAGTATGCTAATTTAATTTACAAACAGAAAGATGGAAATGAGAATACTTCAATTATTGTCCAGAAGCCCATTCTTACAAAATCAGAAGCAAGTGTTGCCAGGTAATCTGGATGGATATACAAATATTACCATTTTAAAGTTTGGGTTTATTAAGAAGGGAGGGGTCTTCAGTTTAAATAGCAATACAAAGGAAGAAACTACCTGCATTTCCCAGTGTAACCTGAAATTGTTCCGAGCTAAGAAGTTCTGACATTTAAGACCGGAATTCATGACATCCATGGCACTTAAAATATACTCTGTTTCTGTAAGATGCACTTGCAATATTCAGTGTCAAAACATGAATTTCACAACAGCTGTGAGGTACAGGATCGACATTGAGAACAGAAAGTTCTCACAGGAACAGGAAACATTTGATAAGTCAGCCTGGTCCCATCAAGAAAACTTTGGACAGCCAACATATCAAGTACTGTACAAACATTTTTCTTAGAACTGAAGATATTACAAGGGAAAACCTTTGAGGCAGAAAGAACAAGGGCGAAAGGAGTACATAACAACAACAACCCTACACATAGATAGTGAGTGACCTGCAGAGGGCTAATCCCTGAAGGACTGAATTGATCTGTACATGAGAAAATAGGAGATAAACTATAGACTTCTAGGAAAGCTTACAGTGTTAGAATTGGAGGGTGTGGTGGTGGTTGGGGGAGCCAGGGGTCAATAATTGCATTATAAATAATCATTCGGTCCTGAGCGCTCTGTTTGAGGGAAGGACAATATGTGGAAGGAGCCAAATAGGCATTTCCATTGTTTAAAATAACCAATATTTAACACAAATTCCAATTTACTAAATTAAAGGCACTGATTTATTACTAAAATAATTAAGGGGCTAGTTTTCTAAGGATGGGCAGAAGCTATGTCTGCAGAGGAAAGGCACATCAGAAATGTTTACATCCTCTATGTTTAATGAACAGAAAATCAGAAGCAGGCTGTGTGCACAAAAATGTACTGTCATCGGGCAAGTCTGTCACATAATCAATAAATGATTCTTTAGTGCTATCTATAATATAAGAAAAAAATCTGTTCTGCTTTTTATTAATCTCACCTACTTTATTATGGTCACAAAGTAAATATTCAGACGGCAATTTCATTCGTCCACCAATTCAGGTGCTGTTTTACCATTCCTGGCAGGAGGGTGGAATGACAGCGTTTACATCGGCAGTTTCCATCGTAATAAACATACATAGGAATTTACAGTATATCTTAAATTAACAACATGTGGACTGAATAATATCTATAAATTATCTCTGTTTGCTTGTAAAGGCCCTTGTTGAGACCCAGGTTTAAGCCCCATGCTCTCCAGTGGTGTGTAATCACATCTCTGCATATTTTGACTTGTAAAATAGGTTAAATATAAAAAGTCCTCCTCTCCTTTAATTCTAATTATCCATAATACTATGCTTTTTCAACTTAATACATCACAATTGATTAGCATTTTATTAACCTCAAATCAATGGAGTTGCTTTTGCATCTGGAGTAGCTTCTGAGATGCATTGCCAAAAATCCCCAATTGT